CCTTGAGACAGTGTGTTAGCGGCTTTGCTAAGAGTTTTTTTTCCCTGTGTGCATTTCTCAGAATGTGAATCAACATACAATAAGTCGGTAAGAGACTGGGGCGCGAAGTGCTTCGGCCAATTCATGAGCATTGGCACTCATACTGCCATTGCGTGTTCTGATGGTCGTGATGGCTTCGCTGATGCTCTTTCGTGGGCGGTGTTTGGGATTCCGTAATGTTCCGTTCCCATACTCTCGCGAGTAAAGGCTCGCTTTTCGGGGTTCCCAAAGCTCGCTCGGGGCATATTTCACCGAGGCGCTTCGGTTTGGACGGGTTGACCCCGCGACAGTGTCGAGGGTGTCTTCGTAAGGCGGGAATTTGTCTATCGGACTGCTCGTTTGAGGAACGGAGGATTTAGTTGGGATTGTCAATTCGGCCTGGCGCATGGAGGCGCGTCGCCCATGACCGGTGACTGTAGTTGTAGCCATCTTCCACGACCCGGAACGTCTAGACTATCTGCAGAGACGTCAATTCCCCGGACCCCGAAATGAACCCGCACTTTAGGTATCACTTACCCGAGAAGGGTGAGGAAGCAGCTGCGGAAAGACAATGCGCTCAATGATTTCCGGTGAGGATATGTGTCTTCACTAATTAATGGAAAAAGGGCGGGTTGGTTCCCCGGTTTGTCGATGACGAATCTCCTTGGGCGAATGAGCGTCGAGTATAGAAACACACACGCTTTCGGCGAAGCCAAGCGATGAACGATATGTGAATATATATACCTAATCCCTAGAAGAGACAAAGGAATTGTGAAAAATATAAGTTTGAGAAATATCCACTATAAATTGAAATGAACGCGACCACGGAAAGACATGCAATTTGGATTTCCACCGCCACTTACATTATAGGATATGTTGATAGAAATATTAGAGTAACCGCATATAATTATTCCTATTTCACAGTCATTTCTTAGTAAAATATTTCTTCAAAATTCTTCTCTCCTAAATTTTTTTTTCTTTCTATAATAAGAATTGTCCCTTCCGTCTTCGTATATGCTCTCCATTACGCGTCATCTGAATCACGTGTTATGGACCCTGATCTGCATGCAACATGTCTTGGCTTTGGAGAGTTTGCAAGGAAGTGATTGGTCTAATAAATCTATATAGTGATCCTCTCTGTCCTTGTAGGACGTTCATAATATGTTTTGACGTCTTCCATGAATTTAGGTCAACAAATCTTTGATATAGATCTAACCTAGAGTATTGAATTATTCACCAAAATGGATTTGATAAACATCTTTTACCTATAACCTTGTATACACATATATACATCCACATACATATTTACCTATACTACCATGAAATGGGACAACTATGCCTAATTGGGTAATATAGGAAGTAGGTATATATGGAAGGTTCTCTTCTGACTCTGCTCCTTCCTTTTGTCTCTTGTTTCCTCTTTCCATCTCATATCTCAACATCTTCTATCTTCTCCCAATCTTGTCTTGCCACTCAACTTCCTCATCTCCGTTCCCTTATGCTTACCATCATCTCGCAAGAATCTGCTCGGAATCCTTTTCGTTGCATGTAAACTCACTTGGTTTCCAACGAGCCTGTTTTTCCCAACCTTCACGCGGCGACTTCAATCCTCTTTTTATTTTCTCCCTTTCTTCTTTTCTGTCTCTATCTCTGGGTTTTTCTTTTCTTGTTTCACTTTTAATCTCTTCCAGTTGCCGATATGTCTACCCTAAGCGGACCTTCATCACTTGGTCGCATGGGGAACGGAGGACGGTTTGCCTCCAATGATGGCATCGATGTGCGAAATCTCTCTTTTGGACATGAATCATCGGTACGCTTCTTGGGGAGCAAGCTTGGATGCGACTTTCTATACTAACCACATTGGTTGCGGCAGAGCCCTCAGAACTCGATTGCCCATTACGGCCCTTCCGATGCGGCTGAAACATCCCGACATGGAAAGTTGCAAGGCTTGTCTGGTGAAGGGGCCGAGCACTCATCAAGCAAGGTATGTGTTTCCTGTGGTATTGATTCACGTGGGTGTATGTGTCTTTGATCTCACAATCCCAGAAGCAGAAGCTAGATCATATTAAAGTTGAATCTTTGAACGGACAAACACCGGATCTTGAGAGAATACTGGCAAATATTTCACCCAAAACAATATCCCTTCCACGTTCCGAAGCCGATCGCTCTTCTCTTTCGTCTCAGATCACTACGGTAACAGCGGTGCCAGCTTTAACCCTCGCCGAAACCACCCATTCCTACTCCCAGGAAGACAGAACGGTAGAGCTGCTCCGCCTTAAGCAGGAGCTCCTTGCTGCAAACTCCAAAATCGCTCTGCAGGAGCAAGAGCTTGCCCAAACTCGCGTGATAAAACATACCTTGGATCAGGCCCTCGGTCCGTCATCAGAGGCTGATTTCGGCAGCCGCGAAATTACAGAACAGACCATTAATCACCTGCAGAATGCTTTCAACGCATCGAGCTCTGCATTCAGTCAGTTCCAAGATGCATGGGGTGGCCAAGACGATTCGCAATCTGATGTCTCGGATTCAATGTCTACAGGAGCTTACAACAGATCTCGTGGGCTCTGGGTCCAGAATGAGCCTGCCACTGACAGAGAATACGGAGAGAGCCTTTCAGGTACCAGCAGCTCTACAAGCCAGGATCCAAATCGGTTCTGGGGAGTTTCTAATGTGTATCCTCCGTTTGCCGGTCCACCGTCTCTGCAATCACAAAGGGCACACTCGGGGTCCTCGGCTAGTCCATGCGGATTCTACTCACGTCCCATTGGAGAACAGATGTTGTACCCCCCAGGACCTATCACCGGCGCTCGTCGCTCTATGACCCAAAGCAGTAGGGGTGGATCGCTATTCCCAATTCAGTCTACTCCTTGGGGTGAATTTGCTTCTGGGTCCTCGAGTGAGCAGACTCCCAAGTCACCTTCTTCGCCTAAGAGACCTCCGAGCGCCTTTCAGCAGGTTGGGCTTTACTCTGTACCTTCTTACCCCCATCGACCGATCGGCAGCCCCCTCTCGCCCACAGCTACCGAGTTTACAGGTGCCAGCACAAATGAAGCCACATGGACCAACTCGGTAAGAGATAATAATCATAAGTGTGGTGCTTGCATTCATTCTAACTCTTATCAGATGAGCGGCACTTCCATCCAGACATACGTGTCGCCACTCGAGCCACTCAACTACCGACGCCTGCTCGACAAGAATGTGTCGTGTGATTGGAAGTATATTGTAGACAAGATCATCTGCAACAATGACCAGCAAGCTTCAATTTTCTTACAACAAAAGCTCAAGGTTGGCACAACTGAGCAAAAATACGACATCATCGAGTCAATCGTGCATCAAGCCTACTCACTCATGGTCAACCGCTTTGGAAACTTCCTCATACAACGCTGCTTTGAACATGGAACCCCGGAGCAAGTCGTCGCCATCGCCAATGCGATCAGAGGCAACACGCTAAACCTCAGCATGGATGCATTTGGCTGCCATGTGGTCCAAAAGGCGTTTGACTGCGTTTCAGAGGAGTATAAAGCTATCATGGTACATGAACTTCTCCGCAGAATTCCCGAGACGGTGGTCCATCGATATGCATGCCATGTCTGGCAGAAACTCTTTGAGCTCCGGTGGAGTGGCGAGCCTCCGCAGGTGATGGCCAAAGTGAATGAGGCATTACGCGGAATGTGGCACGAGGTTGCCCTTGGAGAGACAGGAAGTCTGGTCGTCCAGAACATTTTTGAGAATTGTGTGGAGGAGGAAAAGGTGAGATCCCCCATCAACCGAGCCGCTACCATATGCATCAAACCTCTTTTCTCTCGCTGTTCTGCTTCTATATTTGGTTATTCATATTGATTATACCAATGCTAATATTTTGAAGCGACCGGCAATTGAAGAAGTGCTGGCGAAGATCGATGTACTCGCTCATGGGCAATTCGGGAATTGGTGCATCCAACACATCTGCGAGCACGGTGCCCCCCATGACAAGAGCCGTGCCGTAGAGCATGTCCTTTGTTGGGCTGTAGACTACAGCATGGATCAATTCGCATCTAAGATTGTGGAAAAATGCCTCAAGATTGGCGGTACGGAGTTCATGGACCATTACCTCTCTCGTGTCTGCACTGGCCGATCTGACCGACCTCGCATGCCATTGATCGACAGTAAGTTGCTCAAGCTTTACCACCATGAGAAAATACTGATTTTCTTTTATAGTAGCGGGTGACCAGTATGGTAACTATCTCATTCAATGGATTTTGATGAATGCCGCGCCTCATCAACGAGAGCTCGTGGCCAGTCACATTCGGTACGATTTCTTGATAGTTTATTTTCTACTTTGAGTGATCTGGAATCTAATCTGATTTAACTAGGAAACATATGGTCTCCCTTCGTGGTTCCAAATTCGGCTCTCGTGTGGCTATGCTCTGCTGCAACCCGTCTCATGCCACACGCCCTGGTCCTGGGGCTGGAATGCAAATTGGCCGTTTCAATAATTTCAATGAAGAAAAATTTACCACGAACCAGTCCGGTGGTCGTTTCGGCCGGGGACATCAATGGGGACCCAATTATGCGCCACTTCGCTGAGTCTGTTTTCTTGATACTTCATATTCACTTTTATCGCCGCGCAAAAGGAAAAGAAACCCACCCAATAATCAAAAACAAGGAAGAAAAAGCATCACTTGAGCATTTCACTCACTCTGCCTCCAGGCAGACAGTCTGTCTTTGCCAGTTTGCCTGACTGTGTTGTATCAATATCTGTTGACCCAGTTCCGAATTACCCAATCATTTCTATGTTTCAATATTGCGAGTTATCACTCCTTGCCGATTTATTCATTTGGCTCGCTATCCCCCGTGGCTATCATTTCATTCAATCGTATAGATTGAGACTTGCGGCGTGTCACTTTACTTTTTCTTTTAAGAAAACCATATTGTTATTATCCAAATTCTATTCCATTCAAATATTTGATCCATCTTGAACCTCATGTGGGCAGAACATAATTTCAGGGAGCAGCGCTTGCAGTGTCATCGGAAGCAGTCACCACTTCATCTTTCTCCCATGGTTTCCGTCGCCGTGGTTTCTCACTAGAAATATCGTGTCCACTGAGCACTGTGTCCGGGATATCCTGGATCCCAGGTATTGGCTGTCCCGTAGTGATGAGTTCCACAATGTGCGCAAACGACGACGGGTAAGCAGGTTCAGGATGTGTTGAACTCTCAGGCCCAGATGTGGGGTCCGATGCTTTGGAGATTTGCAAGTCTGCATTGCCTAGCCCTTGCTCCGTCCGCGATACCAACCATGACTTGAAGGCAGCAAAGTCAATAGCCGGGTTGAGATTTTCTTTTCTATACTTATATTAGTACCTGACCTATTTTGCGCAGGTATTCCTAGCATACCGTGAGAAAAAGAAACACTTTGCTTGCAGGACAAGGTCGTCATCCCGGTTCATCTCCACCTCAGTGGCGGGGGTGTCAGGGTGACCAAGTATTATTGAGAGGCCATTTGCAAACTCGGGATCCGATGTGAAGGAATAAGATTGTAGCCTTTCAAAGACTCGAGTTTCTGAGGGCTGCGCCATTGTCTAATTGTAGAATAGAAAGGTCTGGGATGCGGAGGATGCGGAGGATGGCGTGGGGCAATCTAAGCTAACTAGCCGAGGCTCATCCTGGTGCGTTCTCCAATTGTTTTACTCTGCACGTTTGGACCCTTTTGGGGGCCTTTCTACAAAAATCCGTAAAAGCCACATGGAATTTGCCAGAAAAATCAGATTTTGTATGTACAGACGCCTTGAAAAACCCCCCAATGCTACTTTTCGGCCTGTGAACATAAAAATCCAGGGATATCTTGCGACGCCAAACTATGCAATATTGAGACAATTCCACGCCCTAGACCGTGATATCCATTCCACTTGGTGGATCGGAGTGTGTAGGTGTGCTTTTACTTTGACAGCCGGGACAGTTATGCACGACCTCATGGGCAAAGAGATCGCAGTCGATACAGAAGTGGTTACGACACGCGGTACACTCATAGCGACTGCTCACGCTCATTCCCTTGGTCTGATTCTCTGCCATTTGCCAATGATCTTCCAAAGGCACGGACGGAAAAGAAAGACCACAGGCAAAGCAAGCAGAACTTCGCGAGGCTCGACGCCACGGCACCTCGACCCAGTTAATCAAGGGAAATAGATGATGATACGATCGTGCCAGATGAGTTGAAAGGATCAATGTGAGCCCACAAGATGGGCATTCAGCAGGAAGACTACACACTTTGCTGTTGCATCGTGAGCAAAGATAGCCTCCTCGTGAGGGCTTCGAATGGCACGCACAGAGAGATGGGTTGGACTCCACTGTACGAGAAGGGAACCCCATCATCAGCAATGAGCTTGCAGATTCTTTCTGTGAGTAGGCAGCTGGGGGTGTGGTCACGTCCATCATCAGCTCCCGAAAGTGCTGCTCATTCAGTGCTACTCCATATGCGGTTTCATCACCACCGTTGGTTTTTGTACAAAGTTCCCGGCAAATTGCAACTTGGGCTGCGAGTCCCACGATACCAACCCGAATTTTGTCGCTGATCAGGGTATCTATCGTCTGGTGGATATCTCCAGGATCGGAGGAAAGGAGGGAACCATATATGAATAGCACTTCTCGGGTGCCATGGCTTGGTGTATGGCTAAATTCACGCGTTAGTTTCGTGCAAATTCCCCAGACTACATGTAGCTGGTGTAAAGACATACAAAAGCGCACCACGTGCCATCTCCAATCCATTTTGAAGACTGGGCAAACCTTTCGGATCTTGAGTTTTAAGGGCTTGGATGGCTGTGAGGTGTTCTGTTGGATTACCACTCATATCACTGACTCGGAGCGCGAGACCATCTCTTAGGCCAAGGACACCAAGCTGGGAAATGGGATTTTGTTCAAAAAATTCTCTCACGAATTCCTGAGCATATCGGAGAGTCAACAAGTATCTTGTGGGTCGCAAGTCTTTCTCGGACATGGATTGTGAAAGATCGAGAATTAGGATGAGATGTCGAATGATACCGCGCTGTAGAGGTGTTGTATCTTTCAAGAGCCTAGATGACCGGTACACTTTAGTAAGAATAATATGGACGCAAGGATAAAAGGAACTAACCTTTTTCGTTTTCCAGCCTCCAGCAGACCTTCGACAGTTGAGTTGATGGTACCATCTGCACCCTCCACCAATGTCTCCCATGTTCTGGATAGCTCCCATTCCGCGCCTCCGCGTTGCTTTCTTTTGGCTCGCGGATTATCACCCCGAGTCACCTGTAAATCATCTTCATCTTCTGTTACATCCCCCACATATTCTTCATCGGAGTCAGCCATGTTCGTAGATAAGAGTGGAGAGAGAGAGTGTGTGTGTGTGAGAGAGGACCTAAGAGGATCCGAGCGGAAGACTGAAAATGGTCCAAGCTTCCGACGGAGCTCCGTTGGAGAATATCCTCCCTCTCTCTCCTTCGCAAGTCGCAAGTCCCAATCTCTTTCAAACTAAATAATTTTTTTTCGAAATAGCTCTGAAAAAGCTCCGACGATAGCCGTAGACGGTTAAGCTAGAAACCCCGATGTGGGGAAGAAGATTCATTCGAGCTGGCGTAGCAGTTGAAATCCGTCCTACTGTCCGCCCTACCCCTCCTCTTCTTTCTCGCACACTATACAAACTTTCTCTTTCACATTCTCCTCGACTGCGACCTCGACTGCGACCTCGACTGCCTACACCCGCTACATTAGATCTAAGTTTCACTCCCATTAGGCATTGTTCTGCCGAAGTCCGCATGATGTCGTCTCAAGAGCGAGAGACACTCCCTGACGTGTGAGTGATGCCCCGCTTGGGTTATTTTTTTTTTTTTTCTTCTTTTTTCCTTCTCTGTTCCCACAAGTCCCTTTCTTTATAGGGTGCAACGTCGGAAACTGACATGACAATAGAGCTAAGCCTATCAACTACCATGTCTCTCTTTTCGACTTGCAGTTCGGTGGTTCATGGGAATACAAGGGTGCTTTGAAGATCGATCTCAAAGTCGCCCGTGCTACTAGCGAGATTGTGCTGAATTCGAAGGAGATCGAAGTACAAAATGCTGAGATATTGGGAAAAGATGGTACGTGTGGGAACATATCGGTGTGATATGGGGGAAAAAAGACTAATACCGGTTGTCTTGTCATAGGGAGCCAATTGGCCAAAGCATCCGGAATAACCTACGACAAGCAATCGGAGCGAGTCTCCCTCGCTTTCTCGCAAGAGATTGCGCCAGCAGATGTTGTGCTTTCCATCAACTTTACGGGCACCATGAACAATGCCATGGCCGGCTTCTACCGCTCGAAGTATAAGCCCGTCGGAGAGCCGTCTGCCGACACCCCCAAGGAGGACGACTTCTACTACATGCTCAGCACTCAATTTGAGTCTTGTGACGCACGAAGGGCTTTCCCTTGTTTCGATGAGCCCAACTTGAAATCCACCTTCGATTTCGAGATTGAAGTCCCCAGGGGACAGACTGCACTGAGCAACATGCCTGTTCAATCCGAAAGAGATGGGAACAAGCCCGGTTTGAAGTTTGTCACGTTCGAGAAGACGCCGGTCATGAGCACCTATCTTCTGGCCTGGGCAGTTGGCGACTTCGAATACGTTGAGGCTATGACCGAGCGAAAATACCAGGGAAAGAGTATTCCCGTTCGAGTGTACACCACGCGGGGCCTCAAAGACCAGGCTCGCTTTGCACTAGAATGTGCTCATCGCACCGTTGACTATTTCTCGGAAGTCTTCGAAATTGAATATCCCCTTCCCAAGGCTGATCTCCTGGCTGTTCACGAATTTGTGAGTAACCATTTATTCCCCATGAGCTCCAAGCTTTTCAGTTGAGCTAATTGCGGATCTCTAGGCCATGGGTGCCATGGAGAACTGGGGTCTTGTGACCTATCGAACGACCGCTGTTCTCTTCGATGAAGGAACATCGGACAACCGCTACAAGAACCGCATTGCTTATGTTGTAGCTCACGGTTAGTCCCTATATTCGATCCCTGGATACCTAGGTGCCAAGATGGCTTTAATAACTGACTCGCTTTATAGAGCTGGCTCACCAGTGGTTTGGCAACCTCGTCACCATGGACTGGTGGAATGAGTTGTGGCTGAATGAGGGATTTGCAACCTGGGTCGGTTGGCTTGCTGTTGATCATTTCTATCCAGGTGAGATCTGTTCTCCTCTGACCGATGAGCCTCCAACGCAGTATCTAATGTGCAAGCAGAGTGGAACGTCTGGTCTCAGTTTGTCGTACGCAATGCCCGAGGTAATACCTATCATGCCAAGACCAATATTGACGTTCTCCCAGGCTGAAGGTGTGCAACAAGCATTCCAACTTGACTCGCTCCGCGCTTCCCACCCTATCGAGGTTCCCGTTCGGAATGCCCTCGAAGTCGACCAAATTTTCGACCACATCAGCTACCTGAAGGGAAGCTCTGTTATTCGCATGCTGAGTGTTCATCTCGGTAGAGAAACTTTCTTGCGTGGAGTTGCGGACTATCTCAAATCTCATGCATATGGTAAGGCGTCAAACAAGAAGATTATGAGGAACACCTGCTGAGTAGATATAGGAAATGCAACCACAAATGACCTGTGGTCTGCCTTGAGCAAAGCATCCGGTCAGGACGTGCATTCTTTCATGGTAAGTAAATGCCTAACCCTTGGGCCTTTGTTTGACTCTCTGTCTGGTCAACTCGAGACCTAACTGATCTACCCTAGGATCCCTGGATTCGCAAGATCGGTTTCCCAGTTGTCACCGTGACAGAGGAGCCTGGCCAAATCACCGTTAGCCAGAATCGATTCTTGTCTACCGGGGATGTGAAGCCAGAGGAAGATGAGACAAAATGGTGGATTCCCCTCGGCATCAAATCTGGACCGAAGCTGGCTACTGTTGACACCCGTGCGCTCACCGCAAAATCTGACACCGTTGGAGGAGTTGGCGAGGACAGTTTTTACAAGATCAACAAGGATCTGTCTGGGTTCTATCGGACCAACTATCCTCCCATGCATCTGGCAAAGCTGGGTCAGTCGCTTGGTCTCCTGAGCACCGAGGACAAGATCGGTCTGCTGGGTGATGCGGCTGCCCTTGCAGTCTCTGGCGAGGGCACTACACCCGGCTTGTTGACCCTTTTGGAAGGATTCAAGGAGGAACAAAATTATCTGTGAGCAAGATCTCCTTCTGGTCCTTTTCTGTCATTTCTGACCTCTCATTCTGCAGTGTTTGGTCTCAAGTCTCCGCGTGTCTGGGGAACCTCCGGTCGGTTTTCTCTCAAAACGAGAAAGTGGCCGAGGGATTGAAGCAGTTCACCCTGAAACTGGCTTCCCCGGCCGCAGAACGGATTGGCTGGGAGTTCAAACCCGATGAGGACTACCTCATTGTGCAGCTTCGGAAGCTGCTCATTGCAATGGCCTGTAATGCGGGCCATGAAGGGTGAGCTCTTTTTCCTCGTCTCCGATTGCTGTTGAACACGTTCTAACACAATCTCAATGATTCATAGATTTGTCTCGGAGGCCAAGCACCGTTTCGATCTCTGGGCGACCGGAAAAGATACCAGTGCCATTCATACTAACCTGCGGTCAGTGATTTTTGGCGTCAATGTGTCGGAGGGCGGCCGTAAGGAATACGATTCCGTCAAGGAAGAGTATATCCGAACCGACTCTGTGGATGGCAAAGAGATTTGCCTGTCTGCACTTGGACGCACGAAGGATGCTGCTCTGGTAAAGGACTACTTGAACTTCGTGTTTTCGGATAAGGTGGCTGTCCAGGACCTTCATAGTGGTGCCGTATCTCTGGCCGCCAACTCGAAGGTCCGACATTTGCTATGGCAGTACATCAAGGACAACTGGACTGCTGTCGAAACACGATTGTCATTTAACAACGTTGTGTTTGAGCGCTTTGTCCGTATGGGTCTATCAAAGTTTGCCGATCACCAGATCAGTGACGACATTGCGGCCTTCTTCAAGGACAAGGAAACCGGGGCCTATGACCGCGCACTCGTGATTGTTTCAGATAATATTCGAACCAATGCATCCTACAAGGAGCGTGAGGAGACATTGATTCTCGAATGGCTGCAGGCACACGGTTACGCATAAATGCCTTATTAAGAGTTTTTTTCCTTCAATATATTTGTTTGAAAGTTTTCTTTGATTTTGATACAATGTAAAAGGGGGTTTCTGGATTTTAGATCATTGGTCCGATGGGTAGGATTTATGCACGGGATAACACCAGGTGAGCTCAGATATGAGAAGTGGACTCAATAACAATACTCGTAATATATAGTTGTAAATAGGAGAAAATATATCAAGAAGTAAATATAGAAAATATCCAAAATCCGAGAAGTGGTTTTGTGACGTGAAACCAAAGCTGCGCATCAGGTGCGTCTGCCTCCCTGCACCTCCTATCATTTCAGGCGACTGTTCCATCATTGTCCCCTCCCCCGACTTCCTAGGAACTTCGACTCCTTGTTTTTTTTCCCTTTCTTAAACCTACCTTATATTCCTCTGGACTTGTGCTCTATCTCTTCATTTCACCTTATCCGCCTCCCAAGTCTCATCATGAATCCCGAGTGGTAAGCCTTCCCTATCTCCCATCCCCCCTCAAATTCCCTATGCGCCCTGCTTTGGTCCACTATGTGAGTCTACTTGTGTGTTGAATTTGACTAATGTGATTTTAATTTCTAGAGTATCATCGCTTCGTTTGATTTGGCCGTCACCCGACCCAAATCCTCAAACTTGCCGATCTCCGTTGCCTAACCATCGAGATAGATACGATTACCTTTTCAAGCTGCTCCTCATCGGTGACTCCGGTGTCGGAAAGTCTTGCTTGCTGCTTCGTTTTGCCGATGATACCTACACCGAAAGCTACATCTCGACAATCGGCGTTGACTTCGTACGTCTCGGAATCTGCAGGGTATTTGGCCGCAAGAGAATAGCAGTGCTGACGGGTCATTCTAGAAAATCCGCACAATCGAACTCGATGGCAAGACTGTGAAACTTCAGATCGTATGGCTATATTAAACACCAAACATTTGATGCAAAACTAATCATACATACAGTGGGACACCGCCGGCCAGGAGCGATTCCGTACCATCACATCTTCTTACTACCGGGGAGCTCATGGAATTTGCGTGGTTTACGATGTCACCGACATGGATTCCTTCAACAACGTGAAGCAGTGGCTCCAGGAGATTGACCGGTACGCTACCGAGGGTGTTAACAAGCTGCTTGTTGGAAACAAGAGCGATATGGAGGACAAGAAGGTCGTGGAATACACCGTTGCCAAGGTATGTTTACAGACAGATCCAGGGCCGTTGGGACACTGAGAAGGAGGCCAGAATATTAACATGTCTTGATTGCACTCTTATAGGAGTTCGCCGACAGCCTCGGAATTCCTTTCCTCGAGACTTCGGCCAAGAACGCGTCGAATGTTGAGCAGGCATTCTTGACAATGGCACGGCAGATCAAGGAACGTATGGGAACGGCCACTGTCAACAACAAGCCGACCGTGCAGGTTGGCCAGGGCCAGGGTGTCCAGTCTGGATCGGCAGGTGGCTGCTGCTAAACGACACGATGTTCTCTTTGTGTGGTGCGGTGCTTCACTTTGGCGCAATGTTACATCATGAATTGAGGGTTCCAAGCGGCGTGATATCTAATCGGCAGGAGTCAGGCTTGTCAGGCCTTTGGAAACTCGACATGTTCCTGACGGGCAAGGAGAAGATTCTCCACAGAGCTGGCAAACGTTATGATGATGCCGTTGGGGGTCCTTTCTTGCCTTGGATTCGCTTTAGACGACCTGCGTTCTATTCTCGTTTCTGCGTTTGCTTATGCGATTACCGCCGGTTTCTGCGTTCTCATGATTTCCTGGCCACGTCTCTGCTCTATTACCTTGGCCCATCATTCTCTCTGTGTCTTTCCCCCCTCTTCACCTTTCTATTTTCTATTTCCGCTTTTTTTTTCTGTAGGTTGGATTTCTCTCTTGTGAATGGACTAATAGCGAGAACCTTGCGATTTCTCGAGGCATACTGCCTCACATGGGGCTACTTCTTCTTTTCTCCTTCTCTTTTCTGGTAAACCAGTGCGTTGTACTATGTAGATTGCCCCTGAGTCAGATAGAAACGTACCTTTAGATGCGCTGTCAAGGCATCCAGGAAAATATATAATCACATGCAAATCACAGGCGCCGACTTCAAACAGTAGATCATCATTAGCACATATAAGATACCTAGGTAGTCTGGAGATATTACCTTGATATTCCGAAATGATAGTTTATGCGAACGTGACACCTTTAAATCACTCGATTAACATGCATGTACCGAGGATATCAAGAAATCAAATCAAACTAAATCAAATTAAACTAAATAATCTTTGTAGGGGAATATGCGGGCGTCTCGGAATGTAGTGGAGTTGGGAGCCGAGGTACACCAGCACTTCGGCAAAACGTCATGAACATCCCCATCCCCCCTTCAAGCCGACACTCATTTCGATGGTTGTTTCAAACATTCCCTGATATATTTATCCTCTTCCCCTTTATAGGCTGTTAAACCCGAACACAGTTCAATAATCCAGTTCTCCATCATGTCTCAACCTGCAGCCGAGCAGAGAAACGCAGCATCTGCTGTTCAGCAGAGTGATAACATCGCGCACGCACTGGCGGGTGCAGGAGGGGGTGTTCTGTCGATGGTCTTGACGTATGCTTCCCCGCGTTTTCCCCATCGCCACCGCTAACCCCACACTCTAGATACCCTCTGATTACTTTGTCGACAAGAGCCCAAGTTGAGTCGAAACGCGCCCACTCAACTACCCTTGACGCCGTACGCCGCATTGTACAGAGAGAAGGGATCTCGGGACTATACTCCGGCTTGGAATCAGCGTTGTTCGGAATCAGCGTCACCAATTTTGTGTATTACTATTGGTATGAATTCACGCGTTCGGCCTTTGAGAAGGCTGCCATCCAGGGAGGCCGAGCCTCAAAAAAGCTCACGACGGTGGAGTCTATGATTGCGGGCGCCATTGCAGGGAGCGCCACGGTGTTAATCACCAACCCGATCTGGGTTATCAACACTCGCATGACTGCCCGCAAGTCTGAGGCGGAGGAAACATTGCCTGGTGCCAAGAAAACGAAGGCATCCACCCTCAGCACCCTAATGGACCTGCTACGGCAGGAGGGCCCCAAAGCCCTATTTGCCGGCGTCCTCCCGGCGTTGATCCTGGTAATCAACCCGATTTTGCAATACACTATTTTCGAGCAATTGAAAAACATGGTGGAGCGCCGCCGGCGTATGACGCCGAAGGATGCGTTCTACTTGGGCGCACTGGGCAAAATCTTGGCCACCAGCCTCACCTACCCATATATAACCATCAAGAGCCGAGCGCATGTTGCTAGCAAGGATGGCCCCAAGGAGAGCTTGAACGGAAGCTTGAAGAGAATCATTCAGGAAGAGGGCTGGAAGGGACTCTACAAGGGTAAGCCTTTTTTTGGGGGGAAGTCATACCTAGTGGCTGTTCACTGACATATATTTTCAATAAGGTATTGGGCCGAAGGTTACCCAGAGCGCCATCACTGCTGCATTCCTATTTGCGTTTAAGGATGTGCTGTATGATATGATGGTGTCTGCCCGTAGAAAGGGCCGCATCGCTAAATAGACAGGAAATGTTTCCAAGTCTACCAGACCTATATGACACCTCATATGGTCACGCTTTCTGAGAGACAAGGTCTGGACCTTCAATGTCCACTATGTATACTTGTTCGAGTGCGAGTAAAGACTTGGTGAAAGCTCTCAAAGTTCTCGAAGTTTTCGAAGTTTTCGGGGGCTCTTTCAATGTGATACCCAGGTACCCGGCAAATCTGTAGTTTAATTATTTACTTGAAATCACTTTACATCTTTACATCTTCACATTGAGTAGACGTCTACATCCATTTGCAATGGATGAAGACCTCGGTACTCTTATACTTATATCTGACCGCCTTACCGTGGTTCACCGCCCATCGCCCTTACCCGCGTTATCGCGTTCTCGACGCGATTCTGCTCCATTTCTCCACACTTTCTCCTGTATCTTCTGCAATCTGGGCAATTTTCAGTTCTGGCATTGATTTCACCCTGTCCCTCAATCTCTATTTGAGCTTCTACACGTATTTCTCTCAGGTATGCTCCTCTCGGTACGTTTAGGTGAACAAACTCCTAATGCATGACAGATCTAAGCTTGGCTCTCCATTGTCGCATCGCATCTGTGACCCTCGTCTCCCTCGCTTGGAAGATCTGTGCTCGATTCAGATATCGCCCTACCCATTCAGAAACAATATCTCGAACGGCTGTATTGCCTAAGATTTAGCTCTAACAGGGCTGTCAAGGCTATATCAGGACAATTTCTTTCCTAGCGAAGCTATCCAAAAACATAGGCTGGTTTCTGCTTAAGGAACGGAATCAGACTCAACGGATTGACAGGCTGGAAGGCAGGAACACAAATATCAGGTTCAGTGTGAGCCAAGTGAGAGCGGGGAGGCGCCGATGTTATGTCTTTCTCACTTTGCAATCGTCCGAGACCAGACGTGACCGTGCCTAAATTCATATCAATCAAGTCAAACATGTGAGGGATCTCTTCTTCCTTTCAATATTCATGTCTGACTTTTTTTTTTTCTCTTTTCCTAGCCCAGAACCTCAGCTGTGCTAGTAAAATGTCTCACGGCTTTTCCAGTATTAACGACCAGGGTATATGCCCTGCATTCCCTGGCCTGTCAGCGCGGAGTATACCCGAAAACCCAGATATCCAACGTGAGACTCTACGTTTGCTAGTGCAGTATTCTGGGGTCTCCTCTCTGCCCGAGAAACCGTCAACTCCAGCCACTTCTGGTCATGCGGCTCGGGATGCCTGGCAGACTCCACGGACTGAAGTCCAGCCCATTGAGGCATCACCTCGACGCATACGTTCATCAAGTTCCAGCCATGCCCCTCGACCTTCTTCTTCCCACTCTGTCGCTCCTTCCTCTGGCAGTCCAATCCGGGTTTCTCCTCGCAATTCTTCCCGCGCTTCCTCCCGCGCTCCTTCCCGACTTCCATCTCCTCCAACTGTCTCTGTTTCTTCCTCACTTGGCATCTCTCCCAGTCATCGCGAGCGCCAACGAACTCTTAGGGGGAGTGTGGCAATCTCAAATGCCAGTAGGAACGATGAGATAGTGGCTCCTATATTAAAACAGCATTTCTCTTACCCGCCGGAGACCATTTCATCTGCCACTAGATCGCCTCAATCCTCGCGGTCAATATCGCCGACAGCTGAGCAAAAGCTCATCCGTCGCTCCAGTCGGAATAGGGTTAAACCAACAAATTATTACGCCAATCCCTGGGCCAATGTTCGCCTTGGCCCTGGAGAGCCAAGCACAACTGTCGAAGCTATTCCGGACCCAGTCGCGTCTTCTCCTCAGGAGCCACGTCGTGTTTTACCTCGCCGTGCAAATGTCCAAAAGCTGCTGTACAGCCGTGAGCTTGGGAGTGGAAATCATCGCCCCATTGTCACCGATGTGGTCTCGGATCTGAGACCATGGAAATCATGGCAAGGCGCTTCAGGCGATCTGCTTGTTCTGGCTTGGTCGCCTGATGGCACTCAGTTTGCGGCAGGTGCCGCAGCTAAATCAGACGAACATAATATGCAGTACAACAAAGCCAACAATCTTCTTTTGGGCGACCTTCAGTGCAATCGACTAAAGGAAATTCCGGATCATTGGATTCCACGACCAACATCCTCAACGGTTGATGACCCGCGGCTTTTCATGAGCGTTAATAATATGCAATGGATTGGCAACCGACTTTACACTGCTAGTTTCGACAAAACCGTCAAGATCTGGGACGTGGAGTCACTCCCCAACGTATCCTGTACCCATACCTTGCAGCATGAGTCCCGAGTGGCAGTGATGTCCGTCTCGAGATTCGACCCGAATATATTGGCTACAGGGACAGAGTCAATCTTGGTCTGGGACACACGAGATCCGGAAAACTTAACATCAACTCTTCTCCCCATCGACCGCGATGCACGATATAAGCCCAACTTTGAGTTTTCATCAACAGCCCTGGCCTGGGGGCATACTCCATCGACTAAGGAGTTCCTAGCTGGAGGCCTCGCAGAACCCGGGGAAGACCCAATATATAAAGGCCACTTAGGTTTGTGGCGAGCCCGCGAATCTGCATTTGAGACCATCAGAATTGCGTCCAACTCACAAAATGTCTTCGACATTAAGTGGCATTCTTCATTGCCCATGTTTGCCACGGCCAGTCCGGAAGACCCCCACAACGCACGGATCAAAGGCATCGGCATTACAACAAAGTCCATTGTGAGGGTGTTTAGCCTCAACTGTGACCTCCAAAAGCGTGTACCATCCATTATGGAATTCTTCTGTCCGGCTTTGGATGTCAATGAGGTCAGTTTCTGTCCATTGGATTCTAACGGGACGTATATCACTGCCAGCTGCACAGACGGCAAAACCTATGTTTGGGACAATCGGAAGGGTGATAGGATTCTCCACGAACTTCAGCATAGGGCCCCCCTCAACCCAATTGATCACCAGCGAACCCGGGAGATGGCAGACGTGGGTGTTAGAGTGGCTCTCTGGGGTTCATCTATGGACCAGTTTTACACCGGTGCGTCCGATGGTGTCCTCAAACGATGGGATATTCGCAGGTCACCCGAAGATGTCCTCGTTGAGGATGTGGCATCTTTCGACGAAGAGATCATGTGCGCCGCTTTCACTGAAGATCAATCTCACCTCCTCGTGGGTGGTTCTGGAGGAGGGGTGCACGTACTATCATCAGGACCTTGTTCGGACCCCAACATTACAACTTTCGACTTTGAACATGCTCCAGAGCCCGAAAAGCCCAGTAATAGTGCCAGTGATAGCGGTGTCCTTGCAGGATACCAGCTTATCTTGTCCGGCCAGGTGGTTAAGCACGAAACATTTGGTATGGGCCAAGGGCCCTCTTACACGGGGCCTTTTGCCTCGTGGGCTCGGAATCCCAAACCAGACGTTCCTTCCGATCGGATTGGGCAACTCCCTTTGCTCAAAAAATATCAAATCCAACAATTGGATGGACCGCCGCCAGAGGATCGTCATGAGCTCGATTTGAATCAGCGACGAGAGGTCCAAAGACACATACAAATTGCGGAAATACGAAATCGGGGATTCTATAAGAGAAAACGCCAGGAGCACGATGATCTTTCTACGTTCATCTCTAAGGGCACCGTATTTCTGTCTTCTCTTGGCTCTTCCCGCCCGGGGAAGAAGAGGAAGAAAAGAGTTGAGAAAATTGAAGTGAAAGGGGAAGAAAATCAGGAAAACCATGAAGAGAACCGAGATAAGAAAGATGACCGTGGTGAGAATGGAGAAGGGAAGGCCAAAAAAAATCACGCACAAAAAAGAAGGCTCGCAAGGTTTCGATAATCAGCAACACTGAAGATGTTGACCTCACCCTCCTCAACTCAGACACGGAGATGGAGAGATCAAACCGACATCGGTTTGCTCTTGAAGAACTACTTGAGGTTCTTGAAGACGATAATTGGTTCCCTGCCAGTGGAGAAATTGATCCCAATATCCAGAAGGAGAGCGTCTAATGTGACACCCTGATACTGTTGTGTTTTTGCATAGCATTGAAGTGAGGAGTTCTGATTTGGGATGGTTTTTCTTATTACACCAGAATTCACGTTACAGCGAAAGAGCTGTGTACATTTACAGAAGAATCTGACTCATAGGCTGAAATCTTGAATGTGGTAGCCTGTAGATATAGATATATATATATATATATAGATATACGATGTACTAAATAATATGGTGTACTATATATATACCGTGACATCAGAGACCGCCACTACGGGAGGCGCAGTCCGTATGCCTGAGGCCACAATTCTCCGCTTATTCCCTATATCCTATGGAACCAAGTCCTGTGTCTTTTACTCTCTCTCCCTGACTCTCTCCTATCCTCTTTTAAACTTAATCCTTTGGTCTTTGAAGCTTTAGTCTACGCCATCATCACAATTCAATTTGGCTAATTTGGCTTTACCTTTTTTTCCAAGGTCATACCTGTCACATCATGTCGTTCGCCCCGCCTTCCGGGCCTCCCCCGCCATCGGTACCCGACGGATGGAAAGCACAGTATGACGATCGATACCACGCTTGGTATGTGCATATCCATTTACTCATCTTGAATATCAAAGTACTGACAATCAGCTAGGTTCTATGTGGACCTTGCCACGGGCAAATCGCAATGGGACCGCCCCGAAGGCCCCCCACCACGCGATGACGGCAATCTTCCAACCAGTTCTCTCCCCCCATCATATGGCAATGCCGGGACTGGCGACCCAGCAGTGATGGCCAATGTGGGAGACCAGAAGCAACATATGGGATCAAACAACCCCTATAACCCTTCAACAAATACTGGCCCAGGCAACGCCAGCCCTCACATGATTGACGAGGACGCACGACTTGCCGCCAAGCTCCAAGCCGAGGAAGACGCCCGGGCCCGCACACGAGGAGCCGGAGCCGGACCGGGAGATCGTGGCGCTTCAACAGACTACTACAACGATGCCTCGCGGCCGCAGTCCACCGGCCCAGGCGGATATGCGGCGGGCTCAGCGTCGCAAAGCCCGATGCCTGAGCAGGAACAGAAGCGCAGCAAAGGTGGATTTTTGAGCAAGCTGTTGGGCAAGAGCTCGAGCTCAAGCAGCAGGCCACCTCGGCAGCAACAGTATGCCTCGTATGCTCAGCAAGGTCCTCCCCCTGGTGGATACTATGGTGGTGGTGGCTACCCTCCGCAGCATGGCCCCCAGCCTGGGTATGGACATCCCGGACCGGGCTACGGAGGTGGATATGGAGGATACCCGCAGCAGGGTGGGTATTACCAGCAGCAACCGGGTCGCAGGCAAGGTGGAGGAGGTATGGGAACTGCCGGTGCTGCTGCTCTGGGTGTTGGAGGTGGTTTGCTTGGTGGTATGCTGATTGCCGATGCTATGGATGATGATCATGATCACGATGATTACGGCGGCGGTGATGATTATGGTGGTGATGACGGTGGTGATTGATAACTTCTGAGGTGACTTCTGACTCCGTTGCATTTTATTTTGTTTGTTCTGCTTCTTTTTCTTCTTTGGTTTGTTACTGGGATGGACTTCGGGGTAAGGGACAGCCCTCTCTGTACAGCTCGAGGGACTTCTAGGCGCTTTGACATCCGGGGGATTTAGGAGGATTGCTTTTGTTTCGCCCAATAGCTCTAGTCATTTATCGGCATTTGGCTCCAAACTTTATGAGCCATGAGAAGCTCCAGTTAACTTTGTATCATACAATCAGCCACGAGACAATGACAAGATACCGTGCCAAGAGCGGTCAATATAATAAAGTAACGATCTTCTATCCGCGCCTCCGGGCAGGACCATTGGTATCTCTACCAGTTGAACCAGCCTGAGCCGCATCGTTGGCCGTGGGGTTAGGGGCACCCGTGCCCGCCATCCAGCTGGCCAGATCAAACCCGCCACCAGTCATGGCATTGGTAGTGGCACCGGTGATGGGCGAGGAGCGGGAATGCTGCTCAAATTCGGCGCGCATTTCAGGATCCACTAGACAAGAGAGTTAGGCACCAAACATATATTTTAATCAAGGCCAAGGAAGGGGCGATATGCATACTATTATCCATAAGCTTGGGCATGACAAACATGAGACCCAGCGCGACAACTGCAAGTAAGACCATTGGGTTCTTGACAAGACTCAAGGGAGAGACTGCGATTCAATCCAATGTTAGCACAACTATAGAGATCTCCTGCAAGTCCTATCTGTGGGGGAAGGAAGAGAGAGGGGGCAAGCTTACATTGAGCACGCTGCTCATAGAAGACCTTCCGTCCAAGAAGTTTAGCCTCGACAACCACATCGGCCTGCTTCTTGCCAGCAATATCCACAATATATTGCTCCGCGCCACGGTTGTCCCACGGGTTCCCGCGGAAAGTCTCCCAGATACCAAGAATGGACCCATCAGCCGCAACATCAACGCGGTAGGGGGCGAAGACGTAGTCGCCAGCGGAGCGGATATCGAGCAAGTATGACTCTGGCTGAGCATCCGGACCAGAGGATGGGAGATCATGGAACACAAATGTTGCCGAGCGGGTCAGCGATGCGGAGAGGATGTGGTCTTTCCCACCAGAGGGGAGAGTGGTGAGAGTGGCATGGCTGGTTGCGGGGAGGACATGCGGGTTTGGGAGGGAACTAGAGCCGGGGATGGTGATTGTCAAAGAGCTGGCGGAAACCAAGCTGCTGGCCCCTAGCAGGAGAAGAGAGGAGAGCGAGAAATACATGGCGATGCGTTGCTGTGGAAGACCACCGGGAGGGCCACATGAATTGACCACCAAGCAGCGTCCATATCACGTGATGCATCTCTTCTCCAGCTCTTGGATGTACGACAAGCATCTCGAATCATTGAAACCACCATCTTGTTTTTCAAAAGCTAGAGCATCATGCCTGTCTACCTTATTTCCAGGTACATAATAGTTCCCAACAGTCCGGCTATTTCCGACAAGAGACATATCATCTAACGACGTATAAATAGAGTCGCAGATCCTCTCTTCGCCCTGACCATGGGTGTATCTGCCGCCCTCACTCGCATTCGCCGTGACCAGCGCGAACAGCACCCCGAGCGCGCATCAGAAATCACATACGGAAGCATCATACAGACGAGCGGGCATAGGTTACAACGGTGGTGGAACGGAGACTTCCAGGAGCTTTAAACGGAAAATGCGATACATCATCGGTTTGGAGTTTGGTTTTGGGACTCTCGCAAAGAGAATTTACATCGTTGGATCTTGTATCTTATCTGTTCATATATCTACTTCCACGAACTGGTCGTCCAATTGATTACCCTTGCAAGGTACGAGGGGTTGCGGTTCTTGTATAGCTTTATTTTTTTTAGTACTCCGTATATGAAGTCCGAATACGGGCTGTTTTAGGTGACTCGATAGTGCAACAAGAATATTAAGTGATCTACAATCTACACAAGACAATGGTGGTTTTGAATTAAAATAATTTTCATTCACTAGGATTTTTTTCCCTAGAGAAAGAGATAACCTTGTATCTATGCAATCATGCGCAAAAAGAAACCTTGATACCCCATAAGTTCGTAAAACAAGACGTGAAAGTAAACGAGTGCCAAATGGCAAAGAAAGAATCAATCAGAGCGAAACGTTTAGTCAAGCTCCTCGGGCTTCTCCTCAACCTCGTCAGCGGAGCGGGCACCACCCTCGGGGGCACCGGCGCCAGGGGGAGCCTGGCCACCGTAGGCAGCAGAGATGATGGGGTTGGCAACGGCCTCAAGCTCCTTCTGCTGGGACTCGTACTCGTCCTTCTCAGCAGTCTGGTTGCTGTCGAGCCAGCCGATGACCTCGGTGATCTTGTCCTCAACCTTCTTCTTGTCATCCTCGGAGATCTGGAGCTTGCCCTCGGACAGAGTGTTCTTGAGGGAGTAGGCGTACGACTCAAGGCCGTTCTTGGCCTGGATACGGGCAGACTCAAGCTCATCCTCTTCCTTGTACTTCTCAGCCTCGGAAAGCATGCGCTCAATCTCCTCCTTGGAGAGACGACCCTTGTCGTTGGTGATGGTAATCTTGTTAGACTTTCCGGTACCCTTCTCGAGAGCGGAGACGTTCATGATACCGTTGGCATCAACATCGAAGGTGACCTCGACCTGGGGAACACCACGGGGGGCGGGGGGAATGCCAGTGAGCTCGAACTTTCCGAGGAGGTTGTTGTCCTTAGTGCGAGCACGCTCACCCTCGAAGACCTGGATCAGGACACCGGGCTGGTTGTCGGAGTAGGTGGAGAAGGTCTCGGACTTCTTGGTGGGGATAGTGGTGTTGCGCTTAATCAAAGGAGTCATGACACCACCGGCGGTCTCAATACCGAGGGAAAGAGGAGCGACATCGAGAAGCAGGATCTCGTTGGTGGACTTGGAGGACTGGTCACCGGACAGAATAGCGGCCTGGACGGCGGCACCGTAGGCAACGGCCTCATCGGGGTTGATAGACTTGTTGGCGTCCTTGTTGAAGAAGTCGGAGACGAGCTTCTGGATCTTGGGGATACGGGTAGAACCACCGACGAGGACAATCTCGTGAACGGAGGACTTGTCGATCTTGGCGTCACGGAGGACACGCTCAACGGGCTCCATGGTGCCGCGGAAGAGGTCCTGGCAGAGCTCCTCGAAACGAGCACGGGTGATGGAGGTGTAGAAGTCAACACCCTCGAAGAGAGAGTCGATCTCGATGGAGGTCTGGGCAGCGGAAGAGAGGGTGCGCTTGGCACGCTCGCAAGCGGTGCGGAGACGACGGAGGGCACGGGCGTTGGTGGTCAAGTCCTTCTTGTGCTTGCGCTTGAACTCGTTGACGAAGTGGTTGACCAGACGGTTGTCGAAGTCTTCACCACCCAAGTGGGTGTCACCAGCAGTGGCCTTGACCTCGAAGATACCCTCCTCGATGGTAAGGAGAGACACATCGAAAGTACCACCACCAAGATCGAAGATCAGAACGTTGCGCTCACCCTCGACCTTCTTGTCAAGACCGTAGGCAATGGCAGCGGCAGTGGGCTCGTTGATGATACGGAGGACGTTGAGACCGGCAATGAGACCGGCGTCCTTGGTAGCTTGACGCTGAGAGTCGTTGAAGTAGGCAGGGACAGTGATGACAGCGTTGTTGACGGTGCCACCGAGGTAAGCCTCGGCAGTCTCACGCATCTTGACGAGGATCATGGCGGAGATCTCCTCAGGGGTGAACTGCTTGGCCTCACCCTTGAACTCAATCTCGATGATGGGCTTAGTGGCCTTCTCAACGACCTTGAAAGGCCAGTGCTTCATATCGGCCTGGACCTCAGCATCCTGAAAGCGGCGACCAATGAGACGCTTGGCATCGAAGACAGTGTTGTGGGGGTTCATGGCGACTTGGTTCTTGGCGGCATCACCGATGAGACGCTCGGTGTCGGTGAAACCGACGAACGAGGGAGTGGTGCGGTTACCCTGGTCGTTGGCGATGATTTCAATGCGGTCATCGCGGAAGACACCCACACAGGAGTAGGTGGTTCCCAGATCAATACCGACGGCGGGAGCCATGGTGAATGTGTGTAATCGTTAAAAAAAGAAAAAGGTGTAGAAAGAGATTCGTGTGTCAAGAGAGTAGTGTACAGAGAAGTAATGGGGTATTTTGAAAGTGAAGGAAAAGAAGAAGAGAGGAAGGGCCGAGAAAAGCTCCTATATAGTGAGCGGTGTATTGCTCCAGAAGCTTCTAGAGGGAGCCTTCCACGGGGATCCATGAGATTCCATGAGCTTCGATGGCCCAGTAACCAACTCATTACGTCCTTCATTAAGACTCTAGTAGGTTCCAGATGAGCCTAGTGGAGTCTTCAAGTCTACAAATTCCTTGATTGTTTCTAAGTTTATTCTTGACGATGTCAATTCCCCTTTTTTCTTCGACGATGCAACACCTTCTTTGATGTTCTCTCTTTTTTTTATGGCGGGGTATGATGTAATAGTGGGATGACTCTTAAGGCGGTGTCAAAATATTGGTATCGATACGGGAATAATACAATAATACATGGGTCGCCATGGGAGACCTTGATTGGTATTGGTGTTTTGAAAAAAACAATGGACATTATGTATGCGTCATGATGATAAAATCAAAAATATCCATGGACAACTACCTAGGTACAGCTGTCATCCATTCTATTATGTAATCGCCGAGTTTCCCCGACCTTTCATGATGCTACTCTACACATATATATAACTATCTAATATTAAATACACTCCCTAACTAACTAACTAATTTAGCCTTAAGTAGTTAGTTAATCTAGCTTATATCACCTTTAATTTCGTAGTTTAGGCATAGAAATACTTTTCTTTCTAATTTTGTGTCTTATAGAAATTCGAAAATCTAGATAGATAGTAGGTATCTTCATAGAGCTAGAATACTACCTAGATATAACCAAGTCTAGAAATATCGTGTTAGTAGGTATAAAAATGTAGCTAGAGACTATTTTCACCCGAAACTAAATCACTATACTCCGTCATAACCCCCTCGGATTAAGTGTATACTAGGGTTTCTACGTACATTCTGCGATACTAAAAGCAGCTAATGATTTATTATTAGTAAGGAATTATAACTACCTCTTAACCTAGAACTAGAATTTAAACGAAACCGACAGCTTTACTCGTAGACTTTTAAATAGTAAGGCGAAATTTCACTTAATACTAATATGATTGGCTAAATACGCATTCTTTTATTATATTATCGTATTCTTAATATCTTTAAAGGATTATAGTGGTACGGAGTATAAAACTAATAGTTAAAAATGGCGAGTTTGAACAAAACAAAGCTTTATAGTGTAGCTCACCTATACCCACCCGTTGGGTATGGGTATGGGTATAGGTGAGTGGCGTCACAGGTATACTCTATCCGACCTCAGCTTTTGGGCTAATCTCAGTATAGTTTTCTAATTCAGTCCTTTATATGTAACATTTTATGTTGCATGAGCATCGTAATCCACTCTTTAGATGTTGTCTCTGCGCATGTGGTCTTATCCTTTTCATTTATGTCATGTCTTATCATTCTCATATGCTATAAGAATAGTCCATAAGTAGCCATGCCATGTCTTTTTTAGTCTCTTTAGTCTCTTTAGTCTTCTCGTATACTCTATTATATGTTTTATCGTGTATTTCCTTCCCTGTTGGTGTGCTAGAAAGATAAGAAGATCTGGCCCACAAAATATCAGGCGAAAAAGGTGTGCAACATATAATGTACTCAACTTTTCCATATAAAACATGTGACGTGACATGTGACGGACAATATAATTCCTCTGCCAAGGGTCTTGTCTCATATACATTCTACAAAGATCTACTCTGTAGACAAATCGGGGCCACCCCGGAGAAACTAACGTCGTCCCGAGGTCTTATTCCTTTTAAGCCTTGGGAAAAAAAGGTCCGAGAAGGCGCCATCCACGCTAAGCATTTGTCTTTAACCTTGTAGATGTAACATAGATAGCATTAGCCTTGAACTCGGTCCAATAGGGCTTTTTCGAGTTATGTACTGGCAATTGCGAATATTCACTCCAATCGCACATCATGAGACATGTATAAATGTAAATAGCTTCCATAGTTTCTACTTGCAAATCGATTTAATCTTGGGCTATTCTTTTCATCTGGATTCTGGGTTCCTCTTTGCCACCATGTTCGCTGCACTGAAGCGTAAGAGGCCCGAGGAGAACGAGGCCAAGATAGAGCAAGAGATCATAGACCCAGGAAAAGAAGAGCTCTCTTCCAAAAAACAAGTGGTAGAGACTACAGTGGATGAGGAGAACATCCATTTCAAGGGGGGAACAGCTGCCATCGAACAAGAGACACACAACAACCCCGAGATTGCGGCGCTGCCATTTTCTGTGCGACATCTGATCAATTTG